AACTGTTTCTCAATGAAATTTCTTTATATGAAAGATCCTTTTTTTTTTCGATGAGAAATCACCTCCTTAAATGTTTTACACTTGTTCAGTTACATCCTGTATAACGCAAGACATCCGGTGATCACGGTACAAAATAGAGTGAAACAAACTTATATCACTAAAGAAATTCATGAACAAATCAGAAAACTCAAAAAAAAACGGAGTATATTCTTTTAGCGGGTAACGAGTATATTTTAAATAGCTCTGTGGAAATGGATAGCACCTGGTTACCATTCCTGAGACGAGAGGTTGAAAACGGAAATATGAACCTAAACTGAATTCTCAGAAAACATTCCGTATATGTATTCATGTATAACATCTGGACATTTTTTTTGACGTGTGCTAGAATAAATACATCTATTCACAATTTTGTGTTTTGAAAATATGGTTTTTCGAAATGTCAAGCACTGAAGAAAGCAAATTAAAAAAATTGTTTTTCAATTTTCTTCAATTTGAAGGCAACATTTATGAATACGACATGTAACTAACTAATTGGGCTTTTGAGTGGTTCATATTGGGCAGTAGTATTGAGTCCTCCACAAAAGAATGTCTTTCAAAGAATAGAAAAACATATGTTTCCACATTTTATAGTGTGCCAATCAGGAAATGTGTTTGAACAAATTACTTGAAAATATAGAAACAAATGTTATATTAGCTTTTTTTTCATCTTGGAACACTGATAACAATTGAATTCAATGACATCAATGATATCTCGCACAAGCTTCTCAACTTCTGAGAGTTGTCTTTCGTATGATGGCGACAGCTGATTAACGGAAAAACATATTTTTTTTAAACAGATAATAATGCATAAAAATTCCTTGAAAAATATGTAATTGTTCTATATTTTCAGAAAATGGATTTCAACAAATAACGTTGAAGTAGTGATAATGAATGAATTTGAAAAAATTATATTTTATTACTTTCATAATTGATAGTTAATAGTATGAAATGATAAAAAATATCGCAAGTAATAAGTTAGTTAGTTATTTGTTGTGTTCAGTTTCCAATTAAACATTAAGTTTCCATCTCAAGTAAATTATTTTAGTCACTGATGCATCACCGAATGAAAGATAAACATGTTTCTATGTTTCAGCCCATATTGCAACCAATAAAAGTAGTATGATGATGAAATCCAAATCAGATAGACATACAAATTATTCGGGGTTTTTATTTGATATGATACCAATAGAAGAACATACTTTCCTCTCGAAACTGAACGTTTTACTATATACTTCGTTCGTTGACATTCAGAATAAGGCTAAGGTAAGTTTTTCGATTATACTTTGCCAGAGTTAATATTTTCAATATCATGTCAATTAAAGATCAAATAAATGATCATATATACTCTGTCCATCTAAGCAACAGTGCTCCAAAACATCATGCATAGTGCACGTAATCTCCCAGACAAGGCTACTTGTACAGAGTCTCACTTAAGAATGACCGATTTTTTTATTTTTTGTTTTAATAACAAGCGGCTGGGTATAGGACATTTTTTAGGTGGAGTGTAGGAAACACAAATTAGCAGTTTTTTCAGCCGTATCAGTACTTGACATATTGAAAACTTTAAAATTTAAAATACCGAATATGTATACACCATAAGCGTTGAAACGTAACTGACCACTCCGACACTGTAACAATGAATTCCGCCAGCCGATTGCAGTTAAATCTAATTGGCCGGCGTAAGGAGTCTTGTTTATTGTACCCAATTAATGCAAATGTGCGTGGTTATCATGATTTGAACTTTCACTTTACGAATGTGTACCACAATGTGTGCATTCATACACCACACTTTGAATTTTCCATTTTATTGCATCGAAAGTTCTTTAGGTGAGTACTTTTTCTTTAAAGATTCCTCAAAGTAGAAGAATGCGCATGCGTTAACTGAGATTGTGGTCAATATTATTTGCAAGATATTCAATTTTTCCTCGTCCATTTTCATAAGTACCGTCTGAAACTGTGCTGTCAACTGATGGAATAGCAAAACAGAAAGACAGGAACTTCCCAGGCACTTTTGGACAAGTTGATACTGGCAAGCGCTGGCCGACGACGCGCTCATTTGGCCAGACCGTCACAGCACGTACCGGACAGGATCGGAGAACTGGAATCCTTTCCGGCGGCGGACGCACTTGGCTGTACCGTAATGGGCTGTTGTCCATTCATTTTCATTGTTCCAATCTTATCCGTATTTTGACGTGATGGGCCGTGCTGTGCTGTGCCGGACAAGTGGCGATAAGCTTTACGGGGTTCGTTTGACATGGTAACGACTACCAATCGAAAACAATTGACAACAACCGAACGGCCATAACGTATTTGCAAAGAAATGATAGATCCAATTCATGTTAAAAATTAATGAAATTTGTTCTAAGTTGTCAAAATTGTTCGAAATTTTTTCTCTTTTGAAAAATGTTCTCGCCACAGAAAATTGTGATATTGTTGTCATTAAATTGTTTCCGCTTTCATAAACACTAATTGTTTTTTTGAGATCAATACATACATTAGACACTTGCCTTATCGGCTCTTCATCATCAAATCGATATTTACTCGATCTTATCTCTCATATATGTCAAATTTGTGTTTTCAGTACGTACTTACTGGAGATTAACATTAAATTGACTATTTTTTTCGTACACAGAAACAAGAAAGTATGAATAAACTGATACATTTCATTCATAATTTTCAGGTACAATAATAGTATTCATGGGCTCTCTTTATTTAATTCATCATTGAAACTAGTTTTTTATAATTTTGCCCAACATAGTTCCCATAGAAATTCATAAATCATTATTAAAATTGTTCTTTTTGTTATCGGACTGATTTCTGTTGTACCGTTTTTCCTTCTTGAACATTTTTTAATTTCATTTCCATGAGACATTCAACTACAACTGCATATCGATGGGCTGAAAACAGCGGGTTCTTTGTACCACTCCGGGTCATTGCCCACACCCCTTCTTCTATAAAATGAGTCTTTGATAACCTGTTGTCTACCAAATCCTGTTTTTCTCATATCTTTGGCAGAATCCCACATGTTCCAACCATATTCCCAGCTACTCACTTCAGTAAAGTAGAATCTCCGTTCGGGAATCAGTTCTACTCGTTTTTTCAAGTAGTTCATTCTGCCGTCTTTATTCGAGCCAGTGTATATTAATTTTCTCACAGCAGGGTCAACTGGTTTCATGATACCTTTAAAAAATGGAATTGACTTAGTATTCATTATCAGTCAAGAATCTCAGAACCATCAGATCTAAATCGTTTTAGCACGGCTAATATTTTGACAGCAATAAGATATTTAAGAATGTACACTTGCTAACTTGAAGCAATGTGGTCTTCTATACTACCACAAACATCTCCATGTGAAGTACTGCACAAACAAATAAATGTTGGTTAAATCAAAATATTATGATTTTTTCAAAGGGGATATTTTCTAAAAGTCTCCAACAAGAAACTCAGTGAGTAAAAAAAAAACAAATATTCAGTTAAAAAATCTCAGGGTTATTTACGTAGATTTCCAAATTGTAATTTTTCCTCAACCTAATAGAAATATAGCCAATAAACAAATTGCAGGAATGTGATTTTCAACGTATTATGCATCTAAATAAATTNTAGTTTTTAGTACATTATTTAGAAAGCGTCAAGAGTCAAATATAGATTATACTTAGGTATTAATTGTAACCCTTCATTTGAAAACGTATAATAGTAATAATAATAAATGGTCTTCATTTTACGTCGCACGTGGACAAAGTCATGTATTTATAGTGGTGATCTGACGTTAGGTGATCAAAATCGGATACCTGCTACCTGTAAAAAAAGCTTTGTTTTCAAACTAGCAATTACGCATACATTTTCAACTACATACACTATTTTCATAGAAATCACCCACTAAGGAAATGAATATTTCGAAACATTTTCCACTGCAAACATTCTTACACAGTGAAATCAGGAAAATATTTACAAAAAACACATACTTCCTAGCTCATACATCGACGGACACTTAATCATATTCGAGAGATATTCATACAAAAACTAGTGATCTATAGAGCGGTTTCGGAATATAACTTCTTGTCAGTGCAGTTCAGAACAAACCAGGTCTGATACTCGACAGAACTCATCGACGCTCTATCGTTTACATGAAACTTCCGTCTAAGACATACAACTGGAGTGATTTAGTAACAGTTAAAAGCTCCAAGGGGAAAAATATCATGTACCATTAGAGAATTCGAGTGATTTCAGCTAGCACCTACTTCTGGATGAACGAGAAGAATCTGCGAGAATTTTCTCTGTGAGGAATCTTGCTCAAATGTCTGTAGGATATAGTCAACTGTTCGTCGTGGCATTAGCCCGCGAAGTAATTGCTTATCGACAGGGATTTGCCAGACATTACTATGTAGGAACTTTGGAAGCTTGGAATTTCCAATCCAAGCTTAGAATACAGAAAGTTTTTTGCCGCTTAGGTCCTCGTTCACGAGAATGAAATGTTACTACTTTATGGTAGTTAAAACAGATCCTGTTTCATAAGAAGGTTTAGCGGAGTGTCGATGAAATCAGTCGGAGTACCAGTGGTCCTCTGCTGTCATCGTTAGATTTGTCCTTCATTCACGAGGAGTGATACTCCAAAACTGGTCTGTACGTAATTAGTCGATTGATTTCAGCGAGGCCTTGCTACTCGGCGAATGAAAAGAATCTCCAAAAATTTCCTCCATAAAGAAATTTGCACAAATGTATGTCGAATATAATCCAATATTCGTCATGCTATTTGCCAGAAAATTTTTCCGACATGAATTTTCCAAACGTATCTCTTCCCAACAAAGTCATTAGAGTAATTTGATTTCTGTTGGAAATATTATCTTTACTTAAACGATGTCGATGATATCACTGTTTTCTAAAAAAAATGTTACCACCTTCTAGGATTGAATCAAAAAATAACAATTATCTTTTTCACGGTATCCCAGTATACAGTATTACTGTTACTGTTACTGTAATGTATTATTGAATAAGATACGCCACTATTTTTGTTCGACATATTTTATTTTTTTTATGCGTTTACAAAAAGATCGAGTAGGTTTTTTTTTGGGAAACTGGTCAGAAGGGTCATTATAATATATTATTCAAAGTATGTATATAGATCAGTAATGTTCATTGATGAATAAACATTATTCGGGAAATGAATAGTTTTCTTTTTCCTCGAACGTACATATCAATTGGCGACGAGGATGGGATTGTAATGAGTATTAGAGGAGATCAATGAATTGTGAACTTTTTATAAAAGTAAGAGAATCTTCGAAAAATGGCGCACGGCTATATCGGACATTTGAATCGTTTCGATCATGTGACATCTGATTGGAATATATTTTTGCCTCAGTTAACTCAATATTGTACTATCAATACTCTGGCAGAAGATATTAAAAGGGACTTACTGTTAAATTCGTTGAGTGAACCCACTTATAAATTGGTGATAAATTTGTGTGTACCGGATTCGCCGGACAAGAAGACGTTTGCTGAATTGAAGACGTTATTGGATAAGCATTTCAGCCCCATTACCACTTTTCATTCGGAACGAATAAAATTCTATTGTGCCAGGCGAGAAAATTATACAATTTGGATTTTGCGACTGAATTGAAGTGTTTGACTGGAAATGTCCAGTTTGGTCCCGAGTTTCAAACAGTAATGGAGGACATTTTTCTAGTAGAAGTTGGAAAAGGTCCCATTCAATATAGACTCAAAGAAGAAAAAGGTGATCTTACATTCAAAACAGCCCTAGAAATCGCATTATGTAAAGAGCAAAGCCAGAAGAAATTGGAGCTTTCACTTGTGACTCAAGTTAAATTAGA